GTGTTCATATGATTATACATCATATAAACCAACAGGACCTACAGGAACAGGAGCGGCTTATACACAATTTGTTTGGCTACAGCAGAATATGATTTAATGTCTGCATAGTTTTCTCATAAAAAACGCAAACGTTTGTAAAAAGTACAAAGTGTGTTATGGGCCTATACCTTAGGTATTAATGAACAGCACAGACCACTTCAGTTAGGACCAGTTTCATGTTTAAGTCCAGATAATAGTTTGAGCACAGACATGTAATCCTCCATTTGGAAATAAGTTCAATGAGTTTTAAAAAGTAAAAAAAAACGGGTGTCTCCTCCGTAAACTGCGAGTTTTGCTGCAGCCGACTCCCGGGTAAATCCAATTTCTAAATTCAACCTTACCCTTCACCTCCTTTTCTTATGATTCATATCATCATTGGAAGCAAAACATTACTCTAAGTGCATTTTAAATTATCTTAAAATGTATTATAGGTATGTTAGCCAAACCTGTAGCTGCCCTTAGCAGAAAAGAACAAGAAAGGAGCTTTCTGATGGAATTGGATGCAGCCAACGTTTGGGCTCACAAGCGCCCACTTGAGGCTTTCCTCACTTACAAGCTGTGGTTGAGCGCGATTAAGACCCGTATTTGCTTCAAAAACACAATTTATGAGCCATCCTCTTAAATGTTAACATGTTGATTGTAAATTAAATATTTTTGAACTTTTTAAACTGTGATAAACAGAGAAAACAGTTTGATAGCACCTCACAGGACTCTCCCTGTGAGCTGTTGCTTTTTACGTCTCCCAAGAGAGGCTTGCCTCACAGCGCCGCTCTGTCAAATCTGCGATTTCAAGGTATAAATAAATTAAATAAGGCACAGCACAAATCACTTGATAAAGTGACCAAACGTTATTGTATCCATTATATTACTTTTCTTTCTATGATCTTAGGTGAGGGCCTTACCTGCCTCATCTGACCGCACGTCACTGGGCTACACAACACAATGAAGCCACCGGAGAGACTGACGCATGAATGCGTATTGAAAAAAAAAAAAAGTTCAGTTTGATAAGTGACTTGCTTGATATATATTGTTTATTTTTTTGTTTTTCTTAACAATTAAGATGGTATGTTATTATCCAGTGTAATCCAAGTATGAGTCTCTCCCTCGACTCTCCCAACAAAAACCCGCCCCCCCTCTCAGAAAATAGTTCCGACGTCCATGGTCGTGGGAGAGACAAAAGTGAGTAAAAACACCCTAAATATGTTTAGAACTACAAATGTACAAAAATAATTTCAACATTAACAACATTTAATGATTTTAATGCTTTGTCTAGATCCACATTACACACATCAGTTTTGTCCTGTATTGTTAAATGTTATAACAGCAAATGTAATCAAAAGATTGTTATGTAGGGTGAAATTGCTAGCTCTACAACCAACCCTCCTCCTTTATCCGGGCTTGGGACCGGCAAAGTGACCCAAAAGACACACTCTGGCAGAGTTACTTAGGTTTATTTTAGTAAGTTTTTTTTTTTTTTTTCATAGTTTGGCATAACAAATGATTTAATGTGACCCACTACTGAGAGAAAACAGAGTCACGGACAGAGCTGCCGCGGATGGAGTGGGGGGTAGTGGGGGGTGGCGGTGGTAGGAGTGGCCGGGGAGCTTTGGATGTGTGGTGGTGGTGGAGCTGAAGTTCAGTCTGCAGCAGCCTGAAAACTTCCTGTGCTTTTGAGTCTCCTCTCTCCTCTCTCTGCTCCGCCCATAGACTGTAGCTGGGACTGCTGCGCAAGGCTACTGTGAGACTGGCCGCCTGTAAGTGCTTTGGGACGGGGGAGGGGCTCACGTTGAGGACAGCAGAACAATACGTGCTTCACGAGTCTCCAAAACACCAGATAAGTCGCCAAAACACCAGATAAGTCGCCAATAACACCAGAAAAAGTCGCTAGATTTGTCGCTAGTCGCTTTTTTGAAAAAAAGTCGCTATAGGGGTCTGAAAAGTCGCTAAATCTAGCGACAAAGTCGCTAAGTTGGCAACACTGAGCAGGCCTGCCTCAAAACGCTCTTCCTTGACGCGCCTCCAGAACGCTGCCCTCTAGTGTCCTGGACGCGTGTGACGCGCCTCCAAGATGCTCTGTGACAGCGTCTGCCACAAGGGCAGCGTTCTGGAGGCGCGTCAAAGAAGAGCGTTTTGAGGCAGGCTTGCTCTGTTGCCAACACAACTCGGAGAGGGATTAAGGTAAAAAGTGTAAAATACGCTTTAATTAGAACATAAAAGTTACTTCTAATAACATTTGAGGTAAGTAGTAAGTAAGTAAGCTTTTATTTATATACCGCCTTTTCACTGCAGATCTGAGTCTCAAAGCGGTTTACAATTGTTAATTTTGGGCATTTGTCTCTCACTCCACACAGAGATGGGAGCGGGGCCAGTACAGGAGGCGCATGCCAGAACTATTGGACATATTTTTAGTGGTAGGGGAAACCGGAGTACCCGGAGGAAACCTACGCAGACACGGGGAGAACATGCAAACTCCACTCAGAAAGGCCCTGGTCTGACCGGGATTCGAACCCAGGACCTTCTTGCTGAGAGGCGAGAGTGCTATCCACTCAGCCACCGTGAGAAATACCCCCCTCTATTGCCATATCGGAGGTCTGTTTGGTGATCAAATAGAACATTGTCGGACTTTTCTCCAGTGCAGAGAGCGGGGGTCGGGCAGTGCTCAAGCCGAGAAAGAGCGTCTCAACGCGGGGACACCTCAGTGGAGCTCTCACAAGCTTCATTCTGAAAATCCGAGGCTTTTGTTACGGACTTTCTCTGTTATAACAATTGTATTGGCAGTAATCATTCGTTTTTACAAAGTCATATTGTATGTAAACAATGCACACGTATGCCATAAATGATATATGATTGATTTATTTGCTATTGCCCTCGTTTGTGCATCACTTACATAAATGTAATGACTTGTGTTTTCTGATGAGAAAGGAATATCCATGGATCTATAATAATAATAACCACTTCCATGGATCTGTATTATAACGAACATCAGTAAAAAGCAGTTGAACTGCTGCCTAGAACTGCTCTTTTTGAAGTCTTGAAAAGTAAGTAAGTAGTAGTAAGTAAGTAAGTAAGTAAGCTTTATTTATATACCGCCTTTCACAGACCAGAGTCACAAAGCGGTTTACAACCGCAACAGAAAAGCAACAGACTGTTACTGATCAGATTATAGAGTTGAATGTATTCAATTAGAACTTTAAGTACTGCTGACAAATATGGACCTGTGTAAATAATACCTTATTTTTCATGACTCTTTACACTTCAGACACAAAAAAAAAATTATAATAACACCAACAAGTTTTATTTTTTATTTTTTATTTCCAGGCTCTCTATGAAGGTGTCAGAGGCAGACGCCCAGGACTCTGCTGCTGCTGCTGATGCAGATCCCACTGTTCTAACTATTCAAGACTGATGATTAAATAAACATGAAAATATGTTTGTTGTAGTTCATATTGTTAATCCGCAGTGAAGCAGGAGGTGATGGAGGTGAAGCAGGAGGTGATGGAGGTGAAGCTGGAGGTGATGGAGGTGAAGCTGGAGAAACGATGGAAAACCTTTTGGAAGTGAGACTGTCATCTGCAAATGTCCTTTATCAATGACAAAATAAACATCTGTATAATGTGCTCTTATTTCATCATTATATTTATCAGACTATTGTATGAAAAGTGCTTCATAATAAGCCCTATATATACAGTAAATTTTAATAATTATACAGTATTCCCAGTCTTAGTATGGGATTATAAATTATATACACAATCTATTTTATATGAATACAGATAACAGTGTTTACTACATGTTAGAATACTACATGTTAGAATACTACATGTTAGAATACTACAGCTGCTGTCTCCATGGACTGTTTCCTCTGTGTAGCTTTAATATGTTATCTGTGGGTTTGTTTCTCCCTGTGACATTACAGATTTTGTGCAAGGAAGGATTAGCAATTGTGAAAAGTTTAAATAACTTACCAGAGACCCTCCTCCATGTCACGGTGGTTATAGTCTGCAGGGCTCATGGGCTAACAGCACAGCTTGTCCTCATAGCTGTTGTGTTGTCGTCCCCCTCGGTCCTGCCTTGAAATGCGTTACCACGTAACTGTTGGAGGAGGCTCCTGATTGGTAGACGCTCGCGTCTTCTCCCGAAAAGTTCAACATTGTTCAACTCGAGCGTCAGCCGCGCGTGACGCGCGTCAAGACGCTCAAAATCTCAAAACGCGCGAAACGCTCAAAGACGCGCTGCTCGGGAGGCGCGTGACGCGCCGCGTGATCTCTTGACGCTCCTAGACGCGCGTCCCCCATGTTATGTCAATGTAAACCCGACGCTTTGGACGCTCAAGACGCGTTTGGTCTGAACGCATCTTTATAGTTTTTGATGTGTTTGTTTGAAATAATCCATATTCACAGCTTAGTGTTTCTAGGTTTCACTCTGTGTTTCCAACAACACAAAACTCTGCCAAAAGTTAGTGTTGGTTTACAGTGAATAGATCAATACCAACTGTGTGCAAGAGTGTATGCGTGTGTGTGTGTGTGTGTGTGAGCGAGCAAGAGAGTGTGTGTGTGTGTGTTTGTGTGAGTAAGAGTCTGTACGTGTTTGTGTGCGTGCATATGTGTGTGTACGTATGTGAGCACAAGAGTGTGTGTGTGTTTGACTGTGAATGTGTGTTGTCTGTATATCTTAACATCGGTAGTGGGAATATCTTAATGTTGTAAATATGTGTGTATTTTATTCTTTCTGTGTAACATGTTGCATTGTGGGAAAAAGGAGCTGAAAACTACCGACACACACTATGATGTAACTATGTACGACTACATTGGACCGGTCAAATAAATAAATCAAATAAAACAAACATAAATGTAGTGCAGTGATTCGGATATGAGTAATCTGATTTTTTCAAGTTCTATAAAAGAAGTCTTGAGCTTTGAATGTATTTGTGGTAAAAACTGAATTAAAAACAGTTAAAATAGTACTTGTGAGAGCGAGGAGAGCAGCAAATGTTGAATCTGATAACGACGAAGCAGGAAGTGTGCGGGAAACGGGCGGAAATCCGTTCTCAGAGCAACTGATGTTCAGAGTGAGAGCGTCCACCGCACATGTGGTCAGACCCGAGTTCCCTGGAAAATAAACATGACATTATTAATTCATATCCACATGAAGACAAACGGACACACACGACTCCGGTAAAAACAACACACACACACAATCAAGTCTAAGCTTTTTAGTTCCAGCTTTAAGAACTGTGCATTCACTGTGTATGTTCGTGCAACATCTAATAATAATAATAAATAATAATTAGGGCTGTCAAACGATTTAAATTCTGAATCGAATTAATTGCAGCTTAAAAATGATGCCCTATTTTTCTGTAAATGGTTGTTTGAATGGAAAGATAAATGACAGCATAGTGTACATATGTACAGTATTTGTTTATTATAACAATAAATCCATATAAAATGGCTTTAACATTATTCACATTCTGTCTCTCTGTTTAGACTCAGACCAAAACTATTGTTTGTTACAGATGAGGGACATTTAAAACAGTGTGAACAGAATGTCATTACATCTGTTTGATTCACAACATTTTACTTTTGGGCACAACCAACATGAACTGGTAGAGGAAGGGAAAAAATAGGCACCCCGGCTTTAATTTAGCAATTTAAGTTGTGCGGAGGAGTCCAGCTTCAGAGGTGTATTTATTGCATGCACCGGTTACGTAAAGACACACACACAACATGCAGAGAATAGTCCTGTGAGCGTGACGCTACGGAGGCGCCGTTTGCCGGGTTGAAGGTGGGAACCTCTGTCCAGAGCAGCCGCAGCTGCCCCGGGTCAGAACGTTGCGGACTCTCGTTCCAGTTCACACAGGAAACAAGAGGCAAGTGCGGTCACGAGCGTTTTCTTTTGAAACTTGAGATCCCAGAGACCTGCTCTGTCTCCAGCCTCGCATGTGTCCGCAGCACTTGTGTTTATGGGATGCATGGGCGGGTCATCCAGGACATGCGTCATATGCGTTAATTTTTTTAACGCGATTAATGACAAAAATTAATAAACGTGTGTTAACGCAATAATTTTGACAGCCCTAATAATAATGCATTGGGTTTTTTTTTCTTTTGGACGTTAAAAAGATGCTTCACATGTTGTTATTCTTTCACTCCAAACACGGTGGTGATAAACTACAACAGTAGCCACAGCTGCCCTGGGGCACACTGACTGCAATGATCCCTTTTTCTCTTTTTAAAACCCATCCATCCATCCAGTTTCTCCTCCTTATTCCATTTCTGGGTCGGCGGGGTGGCAGTCAGAGCTGCCCCCAGTACAGAGCACCAGCCCCTCACTGCTCCTCCTTCAGGTGGCGAGTCCAGAGGGGCCTTGATCTTTCAGCGGGGGAATCAGGCAAAGTGGGGTTAAGTGTCTTGCCCAAGGACACAACGACAGCAGACATCAGTGGGAGTCGTGAAGTAGGTCTTGTGTTGGGCTCGAACCCATGACCTTCAGGCTCAAAGGCCAATGCTCTACCAACTGAGCTACTGTCGCCCCTCATCTTTTTAAAACCACGGATAACATATTTTACATAATGTTTGTTTTTGTTGAATTTTTGTTCCATGGCAGCACACGTTAGCAGTCGTTAGCACATGTTAAGATAAGATAAGATAAGATAAACCTTTATTAGTCTCACAGTGGAGAAATTTCAGTGTCATCGTTGCGCACAGCAGACGTTAGCACATGTTAGCAGACGTTAGCACATGTTAGCAGACGTTAGCACACTAGTGGACTCACAACAAGCCCCGAGATCTATTCAAATGAATGGCTTGTGCTCAGTGGCGCATGTGACGTGCACGGGGGCTGAGCGATTAGCACAGTGCATAGTGGGCCGCGTTTTGACCAATCAGAGCTGCTGATCAGAGCGGAGCCAGAGCGGGAGTTAGAGCGAGAGCCAGACAAGCAGAGTTTGTGGCAGTAAAGTGTGGATTTAAAGAAAACCGAAGGATTTAAGAAGAAAAAAGTTGGATGACAAGGGACACTAAAATCCCCACAAAGTTTGACCTTTATGAAAGCTGTAGGTTCTCTGTCAGGTTCTCTGCCAGGTTCTCTGTCAGGTTCTCTGTCAGGTTCTCTGTCAGGTTCTCTGTCAGGTTCTCTGTCAGGTTCTCTGTCAGGTTCTCTGTCAGGTTCTCTGTCAGCTGAGGGACTTTTTCTAGTCTGCAGTACCACAGCGTCCCATGTTCCCATAGGAGGGACAACTACAAGGTAGCAACACTCTATCTAGTAATTATTATAGATCCATGACTCACGGTTGGGCTGCAGCGCAGAGTGAGCGATGACCACAGAGCCCGGTGATGTAATGTCTTTAAGCAGAACCTCAAAGTGCCGCCCGTGGTGTTTGTTTGCTCTGCAGATGGAGCCACTCGCTTCATCGCTCCAATAAACAAACCTCTACAAACAAAAACTGGTGTTTAGCAAAAGTTACACTGGAAAAAGTAAAATCTTGGTAAGATTTACTTACTAAAATCAACAAATGATGAATAATACTTGAAATGTATGTTTTTAAACTAGAATCATGTCGTTTGGAGCTTGTTTTTTTCTTATTTTCAAAAATCTCAAGTCATATTTTCCTCTTCTATTGGCAGATCAATTTTATTATTATTTTCTTTTTCTTATTTTATTCAAGGTATTGTTTCCAGTGTAATTATTCACTGACCTCAAACAGGGCGAGTCCAAAAGGCCGGTCCAGGAACCCGTTTGATTCCACCACAGTTTTCCGATAATGACCTTCTAGATTCACTCTGGAGATTCTCCTCAGTCCCTGGTCGGCCCAGTACAGCAGGTCCCGGGGCAAATCTGGAAAACAGGTCAAGTTTATAATGTTTTTGGTTTGAATAAAAAGGTCATGAAATTGTTTTGGTGCAATTGTTTTTCATCTCACCGAGAGAAAGAGCCACAGGTTTATGGATCAAAGTATTGACTAAAGTGGTCCGATTCTGGCCGTCCAACGTGGACCTCTGGATTTTAGGATTCTTCCCACACTCTGCCCAGAAGATCACTCTGAGAAATGAAAGCATTGAAGAAAATACGTCACAATAATCCTGTAAACATTGACAACAAACCAGACCAAATTATAAACAGCGACTGAACTGAAGTGACAACGATAAGACTTAAGAATGTTCTGGAAACAGCAGAAAGTCCTGGGTGTCTCTGAAACAGTTGCTGTTTTGTGTTTTACAATTGTTATTTTTCTAGCTTTTTTCTGCCTAAAATGTTGCTGCAGTTCAGTGTTCATGGTTTTACACTAGTCCAGACCAGAGCAGAGAGGATTCATGGTTTAACACTGGTCCAGACCAGAGCAGAGATGATTCATGGTCCGAACCAAGTGGATCAGGTGAAAATCCACTGGAGGAATGCTAACTTTTTGAAAAATGCTAATTAAGCATTCAGCATTTTACTTTGGACCAGAGCAGAGAAAATGGTCCGACCCAAGCGGCTCCATCTCTGCTGCTGTGACTTGAAGGACTGCTGTATTTTAATATCATTGTTAGATATTTTTAGAATGATCTATTTATTTGTTTTGTTTGTTTGGATGGATGTGTTTCTGCTGCTTTTGGACACCTGCATTTCTCCTACAGGGATCAATAAAGTATCTATCCATCTATCTATCTGTGTATGTATCTATAACAAAGCCGAGGGAATGCCAATGTCTGAAGACTTCAACATTTTCCAAAAGAAGGCAACTCTGGATCACTTCGGCCTCGTTTTTTTCTTCATTTATGGACCACAGCACTAAACAAGAAGCAAACAACAAACTGCAGAGTGACTTCATGAGTGAGCCTGGGTTACCCTCGTTCCGGGTGCACTGCCACAGCCCTGGGCGAGTCTAGTCCAGTCCACAACACACGCTGCACTGAGCCGTCAATCACACTGAGGTGAAGAGAGCCCGAGTCTGCACTGGACCACAGCAGCAGGCCCCGGGTCCAGTCCACCGCCAGACCATGCACGGGGCCGGCTGCTTTCAACAACAGCTGGGCCTCATGTCGCACCCCGTCAAATAACAACCTGAGAAAACAAATCACAGGACTGTAGTCATACTATATAATTATGAAAAACTAAAATAGCTAGATCCTAAATTTCACACTATAAGGCTTGAATGCATTTGAGTGGGAGAGTGTGTATGAACTGCTACAGAATCAGCTTCATTTTCATCCCATTGTATGTTTATGAAACCGGATCACCAGGAGGAAACCTACAGACCTGGGGAGAACATGCAAACTCTACTCAGGGCTCCATGCACAAGGCCTTCCCATAAGCTTCCCTTTATATTGATAAACTCAGCCAACTCATTAAAGGCTATTATCACACGGCTCCTCACAGCAGCAGTAGAACGCTCCATTGATTTGAATGTAATTTCTAAAAGTTCTGCAGGTCATTATTTCTTCATAACTGACCTCTCAAAACACTAATGACCGCTGCCCTTTGGCAACGCACCCTCTGCTTGTAAGTCAGATGTGTAGATTACAAGTAGTTCCAGCCACTTCGTCACTACTACTGTCTGTGCAGAGAAGCTATCAGAGCTAGCCATGCTTAATAGACACAAATATCAATAAATAACACATGTTAATTAGAGAATACATTATACATATATATTCTTAACACACGTGCACAGAGGTTTTCAGAATGATCTGTTAACGTTTTCATGACAAAAATACTGTTTTAATGTACAAAAAGCAATCACGGTAACCCTAACCCTAACCCAGAAGTAACCATGAACATTTATTGAACATTTCAGGACACATTTGCAGAGGATCTGATGATTTATGAGTTTATATTTGGGAAACTCACCGCTGATCTTCTCTTTGTTCACTTTTCATGTAGTTTCAGAGAGCCTAGCCTCGCCTGCCACAGGGAAACATTTGGGGACCATTTTCTTTACAGTCATAAAATAAATCTTTCGGCATTTATAAAAGTGAATAGAGTTTATTTTGTGTGTTCAGTTGGTACAAAGCCGTATAATACGGTACGGTACCATCAGGGCGGAGCAGAACCCGACGTGCCCTGATGGTACTTATTACTTTATTATTATTTTCCGATAATGACCTGCGCACATAAACTGTACATTATCCCAATGAGTTTCCAATAGTGTTGTCTACATATCCTGGTCATAATTTTGTCATTTTAGTGCAAATTTGTTGAAAGATCAACTTTCTGCCTAAAACGGTCAGTGAGGCGCCATCTGCAGGCGACATGTATTTACTACATTTTAATTTTGAATCTGGCACCACCGTTGGCGCAGCAGTGATACTTGACGTCCGCAGTGAAGGCTGACGTCAGTTTCCCTGCCGCCCTGAGGTATATAAACAGCCCAGTCTCGTTCACGCCCCCCTAGCGAAGGAATGAAAGAAGAGCAGAGAGTATTTTCATCTCTCTCGAAATACCGAGGATATTTTGATAATAATGTTTTTATTGCGTGCGGCTGGATATTTTGATCATACAACTTTATAATTTCTTCAATCCAAGTTTTTAAAGAAGTAAAATTCTACACTACATAGAAAAAGTGAGAAAGGGACCGCCCTGTGAAGTCATGTCTCTGAATGACACTGTGGTTTTGTTTCCTGAAGTAATGTGGGCGAATCCTCTCAATATGTGGATGATTCTAGATTTCCATTTGACACTGGGGTGGGTTAAAACAAGGAAAGTTTCTCACTGTTTTGCAAACCGCATTTAGTTTCACTGGTTTGGGCGGCACGGTGGCTGAGTGGTTAGCGCTCCCTCTTCTCAGCAAGAAGGTCCTGGGTTCGATTCCACTCAGCCTTTCTGAGTGGAGTTTGCATGTTGTCCCCGTGTTTGCGTAGGTTTCCTCCGGGTACTCCGGTTTCCCCTACCACTAAAAACATGTACAATAGGTCTGTGCCTCCTGTGGACTAATGGCCACAATTCTAAAGCGCTTTCACTCTGGTCTGTGAAAGGCGCTATATAAATAAACATTACTTACTTACTTACTTATTAATTACTTGTTTAATGCAAACAGTACATTAATCATTTGTAATGAATAAGAAAAGATATGTAAAAAACACATTTAAGTTGGCTTTTTGTGCACAGGTGAAGACTGAGTGATTGCACAGATTGAGTCTAATGTCAGTAACAAAGATGATTTGTACAAAAGATCAGTGTTTTTCAACCAGTGGGCCTTGGAAAGTTTGCAGGCCTTGAGATGTCATATGGTGTGCCTTTGGAAATGGTCAAAATAAAGTAAAAAGAAAATATTGTGAGAAGATTAGACTTATTTGTGCTTGTTTGAATTCTTCCACTTTGATGAGAATGACTTTCAGAGTCTGCAGAGTTTCATGTTTGCATAAGTTTTAGCTGGCAGTGTGCCACGTTGTTCTCAATGGTACAGGTTTGGCACGGCTCAAAAAGGTTGGGGACCACTGCTACAGTGCCTTGCGAAAGTATTCGGTCCCCTTGAACCTTTCAACATTTTTCCACATTTCAGTCTTCAAACATAAAGATTTAAAATTTAATTTTTTTGTCATGAATCAACAACAAGTGGGACACAATCGTGAAGTGGAACGAAATTTATTGGATAATTTACACTTTTTTAACAAATAAAAAACTGAAAAGTGGGGCGTGCAATATTATTCGGCCCCTTTACTTTCAGTGCAGCAAACTCACTCCAGAAGTTCAGTGAGGATCTTTGAATGATCCAATGTTGTCCTAAATGACTGATGATGATAAATAGAATGCACCTGTGTGTAATCAAGTCTCCGTAATAAATGCACCTGCTCTTTGATAGTCTCAGGGTTCTGTTTAAAGCGCAGAGAAAACCATGAAGACAAAGGAACACACCAGGCAGGTCCGAGATACTGTTGTGGAGAAGTTTACAGCCGGATTTGGATACAAAAAGATTTCCCAAGCTTTAAACATCTCAAGGAGCACTGTGCAAGCAATTATATTGAAATGGAAGGAGTATCAGACCACTGCAAATCTACCAAGACCGGCCGTCCCTCCAAACTTTCATCTCAAACAAGGAGAAGACTGATCAGAGATGCAGCCAAGAGGCCCATGATCACTCTGGATGAACTGCAGATAACTACAGCTGAGGTGGGAGAGTCTGTCCATAGGACAACAATCAGTCGTGCACTGCACAAATCTGGCCTTTATGGAAGAGTGGCAAGAAGAAAGCCATTTCTCAAAGATATCCATAAAAAGTCTTGTTTAAAGTTTTCCACAAGCCACCTGGGAGACACACCAAACATGTGGAAGAAGGTGCTCTGGTCAGATGAAACCAAAATCGAACTTTTTGGCCACGATGCAAAACGATATGTTTGGCGTAAAAGCAACACAGCTCATCACCCTGAACACACCATCCCCACTGTCAAACATGGTGGTGGCAGCATCATGGTTTGGGCCTGCTTTTCTTCAGCAGGGACAGGGAAGATGGCTAAAATTGATGGGAAGATGGATGGAGCCAAATACAGGACCATTCTGGAAGAAAACCTGTTGGAGTCTGCAAAAGACCTGAGACTGGGACGGAGATTTATCTTCCAACAGGACAATGATCCAAAACATAAAGCCAAATCTACAATGGAATGGTTCACAAATAGACGTATCCAGGTGTTAGAATGACCAAGTCAAAGTCCAGACCTGAATCCAATCGAGAATCTGTGGAAAGAGCTGAAGACTGCTGTTCACAAACGCTCTCCATCCAACCTCACTGAGCTCCAGCTGTTTTGCAAGGAAGAATGGGAAAGAATTCCAGTCACTAGATGTGCAAAACTGATAGAGACATACCCCAAGCGACTTGCAGCTGTAATTGCAGCAAAAGGTGGCGCTACAAAGTATTAGCGCAAGGGGGCCGAATAATATTGCACGCCCCACTTTTCAGTTTTTTATTTGTTAAAAAAGTTTAAATTATCCAATAAATTTCGTTCCACTTCACGATTGTGTCCCACTTGTTGTTGATTCTTGACAAAAAATGTAATTGTTATATCTTTATGTTTGAAGCCTGAAATGTGGCAAAATGTTGAACGGTTCAAGGGGGCCGAATACTTTCGCAAGGCAGTGTATATACGACATGTGACACTAAAAAGCACTAAATAGACTTTAGCTTGTTTTCAGTGACTTTCTACAGGGGTTGATCTTTTAATTACTTATAATGAAACTGGACGGTTATACCTGTAAATGGACGTGGATCCCGGCTGTGCCAAGAACACAGTGTTATTGGAGGACAACACGGTCATGTGCCGCCGTCCGTGTGAAGACTGAAGCGTTTTAGGCACAAAGTCAGTGATGTCGGCGAAATGCACTCCTTCAAGATCAGCAAAAAACAGCTGAGCAGCGTCACCTGTTGGTCATAAAAATATGTTTGTATATTTAGACTAGAAATACAAAGGAAATTATTATTATTATTAATATTACTCATATGTATTCTTAACAGCCTGGGAACATTGGGACCCCCTGGAGGAGCCGGAGGAAGTGTGCAAAGGGAAATGGACGGATAGACTTTGCGTTGAGCCCATACAAATATTAGAATCATTCTTCTATAACTTGTATGAATGAAGGGTTGTTCTTCCACAGTAACCTTTAGCTCTGCAGGCCCCTGCAGCAGTGCCCTCCTGATGGTCCTCCTGATGGTCCTCCTCATAGTCCTCCTGACACCTGCAGCTCAGATGGTCCTCTGAGTAAGAACACAACTGGTCACACACGTCAGCTTCAAGACACGGGTTCATTTCTAAAAAGAAAAAAGAAACGCACAAAGGAAGCAAGAATGAATGATATGAAAGTATTTTCATATCACACTAAAGCATGAATGAATGAATGAATGAATGATATGAAAGTATTTGATGTTGGTCTGATAGTACAAACCCTCACAGTGGCCGTCCCCCCTCTGCCTCGTGTTGTTGGGGCATTCGCAGTGGAAGCAGACACACACAGACGGGCAGCCGCCGTTATTCAACAGACACTCGTTCACATCTGCAGTGAAGGATCAGAAAAGAAAAGTATCGGTATTTTCACGTAACAGAGTTTGATTTCATTGACTGCGAAAGCACAGGAACCTCTGTCAGAAACAGACCCGGACCCAAACATTCACTTTCATGTTGATAGTTTGAGCTTCTTGTTTTATCTGAACTAATTTCTCCTAAAACATAATGTTCATTATTCAGACTTTACTAAATACCAGATAATAATGTAATTATTACACATTTACATCCAAAAATCATCTCTACGCTGCTTTAAAATCCGCTAGCCTTTGTGCAGCCGAACCTTAGCCCCGCCCACATCCTCCAGAATCCTGAGGATGACGGGGACAAACTCCCACTTTGGGAACCACTTGTTTAGTTAAGTATAATTCAGTATGCTAATGCTAATGCTAATGCTGCCACATGTGGGACATGAGGCTAAAGTACAGAGTTCACGGAAGACGTTGGTTTAACTTTATGTTTCACGAAGTCATTATAGTCAGTTACTATTCGCCCGGGGTTACATTTACAGTGAGAAAACTTCAGTTTTCATTTACAAAATTGGGGGGCATTTGAATGATGGTGATATTTTTCATATTTATTAAATTTCTAAATCCTTTGGTGAGCTACTTGGAAGGAGATGGTGACCTCCTGACAGACCTGAAGCTACAGGTTGGAGACCCATGGTTTAACGACTAATAAGACCAGTCTTGTGTTTCACGGACCACAGTCTTCCTCGTCGCTGCCGTCGCTGCAGTCGTTCGTGTTGTCACATTTGTAGGAGTGATGGATGCACCGTCCGTCTCTGCACTGGAGCTCTGAGGCGGCACAGGGAGTGGTCTGCGACGCACAAAGAAGCGGATCCTCGTCCCGGGCGTCTTCACAGTCGCTCTGTCCGTCGCACAGCTGCTGTTGGGACAGACACCACCCCGACGCGGCGCAGCGAAAGCCCGAGGTGCAGTTCGGACAAGACCTCTCGTCGCTGCCGTCGCTGCAGTGGTCTGTCCCGTCACAGAGGAACAGCACGGACACACAGTGCCCATCATCACAGAAGAACTCTCCACTCTTACAAACCCGCTCATCTGTGAAGAGACACAAGAACAGGACAAAGCTGTAGTACCTCACTTTTTGTTTTAAATGCATGAATACATTTTAGATAGATTTAGATAGATTCAAATAGACAGACAGACAGACACACACACACACAGAGATCCCTGTAGGAGACACGCAGGAGTCCAGTAGCAGCAGAAACACATCCACACAATTGTTCTGTGTTAATATTGTGCAGAACTTTATATGAAATTAGTGGAAAGTTGTGGATAGCCCTGTGTTACAGTGAAGCTAATGTTTGTTTAATGAGAATTATGGGGGTAGGATTAACAACAAACAGAAGATTCTTTGATTGCGCTGAATAACTGCTCATTTTCACAGGAAGCGTTAACGGCGCCTGTGCGCAAAATGAGCGCATTTGTGCGTAACATTATTTGGCTGTATGTCCACTGGCCGTGCACAGGTCCGCGGCTTCTGATGCTCTCCCAGTGTAGTCTCTCACTGAGCTCAAGCTCAGTGAGGTTGGATGGAGAGCGTTTGTGAACAGCAGTCTTCAGCTCTTTCCACAGATTCTCGATTGGATTCAGGTCTGGACTTTGACTTGGCCATTCTAACACCTGGATACGTCTATTTGTGAACCATTCCATTGTAGATTTGGCTTTATGTTTTGGATCATTGTCCTGTTGGAAGATAAATCTCCGTCCCAGTCTCAGGTCTTTTGCAGACTCCAACAGGTTTTCTTCCAGAATGGTCCTGTATTTGGCTCCATCCATCTTCCCATCAATTTTAGCCATCTTCCCTGTCCCTGCTGAAGAAAAGCAGGCCCAAACCATGATGCTGCCACCACCATGTTTGACAGTGGGGATGTTCAGGGTGATGAGCTGTGTTGCTTTTACGCCAAACATATTGTAAGGGGATTTATATTGTTTTGTTTTGTTATGCCTGTGTTATTACCTGGCTAGGACCTATTTTGAGTGCGCATTGATATGACGGTAATGAGGTCACGGGCGCTAGAAAAATTTAACCTCGGGTTTGAGGAGAGTTCGCTTGATGGGGAGCTGTAGACTGAATAAAGCTACGTTCCTGAGGAGCTGTCCCTCTCTGTGTGATTATTCATACACCCACGACCTTTCTAACACAGGGTGATACTCGCTCAATGAAACTTGTGTTACACTGGTGGCAGCGGGTTGTGGACATAATTTTTTTTTCGCATCTGGAGAGGTTGAATCGTCGCTCTGGGACACGTTGCACCACGGGCTAAGCTAACGGCAGAAACGTTGGACTTTTCCCCACAACGCTACGAGGAATAACGGACTGACTTCTCAGGTGGATTACGTTTGCATAGGCCCTGTGGATTTTTGTTGTCGTAGATAAGGCACGGTGCATAAGCTAACCAGCTATCTGCTAGGGGCAGTGTGTAATTCACGGATAACAACGGGTGTGTAAACGGAATACGCAAACATTTTTTTTAAACAAATATTTGGACACATTTTTTTTTTAATGAGTAGAGACTTTGCCTGTTGTACATTTGAGGCAGAGGAGTGTGCTGTGATGCAACGATGGCAAATAACTTCTGGAACGATCCGCCTTTTTCTGCTGCCTCTAACCGCGCCATTCCACCGTACCGCCAATTTTTCATGGGGACGGAAAAGAAGATTTTTCAAGATGGTGCCGTCGTTTTGAAGTCACAGTAAATGCTAATCCTGATGTTGAGGAAGACAGTTTGGCGAAACTCCTTCCTACATGCTTGGGGGATGCTGCTTTTAGCTATTGGGACAGTTTACCTGATGCTGTAAAGTCAGACTTTGATGCCACAAAAGAGAAACTGAAAAGCGTTTTTGGACAGGCTGCATAACATTTCAAAGCTACATTAATGCACGCGCTCGTCACCCGGGTGAGGCTTTACCTGTTTTTGCTGCTGAAATCAGTCGCCTGGTGGAGGAAGCTTTTCCCACATATGGTGACAATGCAAAGAAAGGTGAGAAACTAAGGCGCTTTATTGCTGGACTTGACCCGTATCTACAGCTCAGATGTCACGAACAAGGGGTTGATACACTTGAAGATGTCCTTAAATATGCCGCTCAGATTGAATCTGCACACCAAGCTAGTAAAATGTTAGCGCCTGGTACTATGCAATCATTTTCCACTGACATGGTTTATCCTGCTATTTCACCCGTGTCATCCAGTCATTTTCCGGCAACTGGTGCACTAGGTATAAACTCGGCCAATGCAGATGATATGAAGAAGATGTTAAAAACTATTGAAACGTTATCAGAGAAAGTTGAGCACCTACAGTTGGCAGTGGACCGTCAACACAGAGACAAAAACAACTACACACATCGTTATAGGAGTTACACTCCTGAGGAACCTCGTGAGGACCGCCGTGACTACTCCAGCAGATCCTACAGATCTTCGCCGCGACGTCAAGACTACGACCTTGACAGCCATCATTCACCGTCGTCTTGGTTCGTCGGACCGGCTTCCACGTCAGAGCCATTCTTCAGAGAGAGGCAACAACAACCGCGGCCGCTCTCCGGATCGCTATGAGAGTCGCCGATATCGCTCTCCCAGCCCAGGAAGAGTACGCTTCGAGTCTCCATCACGTCCAAAGCAGAACCAGGTAAACTACAAGTAGTTGACAATGAGGACCAATTGTCAGCTACAGAGCCCATCCTGGTCCAGACTGACAATAAAACGAATGACATTACATTTGTGACAGACATTGAGAAGAGGTATGTTTCAGTTGTTATCGAAGACACAATTGTACATGTTTTCGTTGATACTGGGGCTGATGTTTCGGTCATTAGCGAGGACTTTAGAATGAAGACACCTGCTCTTCAAAGGAAACCCATTGTGAAGGAGTTTGTTCCCCTCAAAGGTGTTGCGGGGGAACCACTTGACTCTGTAGGTTCCATCTCTGTTAATGTAGACCTTGCCCATAAACCTATGACACACACTTTTCAAGTGGTTCGAAACTGCACAAAACCAATCATCTTGGGTTGGGATTTCATGGTCGCCAATGGAATTGTCGTGGACACGCGAAAGATAACACTAGATGTTGAAGACAAAACTGTACCACTAGTTAGTCCACAGCAATATGCTCCTTTTCTAACTAGTGTGTCAGTTTCCTCCACAGTGACTATCCCGGCAATGTCAGAAAGGGTCATCTCTGCTACTTTGGATGCACCCCTCAAAGGACTTCGACCTAATGGCTATACAGGTGTGTTTGAACCTCATTATTCGGTTGAGACTACTGCAGGGTTTGCATGGACTGTAGCCAGAGTAGAACTTGGCTCCATTTGTGTTAAAGTGGCTAATTTAGCACATAGTGAGATTAAGTTGTACGGAGGCACTCAGATTGGACTTTTTCATGCAGTTTCAGAGGGCAGAAAAAGTGACTTCAGTATTATGGACAGTTCTGTATCTAATATTAATGTTCAGGTACCAAACGTTCCCAAGCATGTCACCAAGCCAGTCATTAAAAACTCAGACCTAACGGTAATCCAGAACCATCAACTCAATGAGACACTAACGTCATTTGCAGATGTTTTTAGTCAGCATTCACATGATTTTGGCAGGACTGATTTACTCACTCATAAAATAGTCACAAACTGTGACATGCCAATCTCACAAAGGGCCTATCGTACATCTCCTGCTATTAAATCGGAGATTCATCGTCAAGTTGAAGCTCTTAAAGCACAGGACTTGATTGAAGACAGTACAAGTCCCTGGGCCAGTCCTGTAGTTATGGTGAGAAAGAAGGATGGCTCATATAGGTTTTGCGTAGACTTTAGAAAGTTGAACGCTGTTACCATAACTGACGCACATCCGTTACCGAGGGTAGATGACAGTCTCGATGCACTGTCAGGCTCTCAATTCTTTTCGACAATGGATATGTCCAGCGGGTACTGGCAAGTGGAAATGCATCCCGCAGATCGACGTAAGACAGCATTCCCAACCGGAGATGGCCTTTATCAATTTAAAGTCATGCCTATGGGCCTCAAAAACGCACCAACAACATTTCAGAGGCTAATGGAGTTGGTTTTGAGAGGACTGCATTGGACAACCTGTGTCATTTATTTAGATGACATCATATGTATGGGTAAAACCTTTGAGGATCACCTACACAACCTCACAGACATTCTCACTCGATTTAGACAAGCAGGTTTGAAGTTAAACCCTAAGAAATGTGACTTTTGCAAAACTACAGTTAAGTACATGGGACATGTATCTCGTGAGGGATTGACTCTGGATCCTGTTAACAGTGAACGCATCAGTAACTGGCCGACACCATGCTCACCTACTGAGGTCCGTGCATTTTTGAGACTCTGTTCATACTACAGACATTTTGTGCACAGATATGCATTTATTGCACAACCACTTCATAAACTGACAGAAAAACAGGTAGTGTTTGAGTGGACTGAGGACTGCTCGGGTGCTTTTCAGACATTAAAGGAGGCGCTTATGTCTCCTCCAATAATGGCTTTTCCCAACTTTGATCAGCCATTTATTAAGCACAGATGCATCCAATTTTGCGGTTGGTTCGGTGCTTTCACAAAGACAAAATGGACAAGAACGCGTTGTGGCTTATGCGAGTCACGTGCTTTCAAAGACTGAGAGAAAGTGGTCTACACACGACAAAGAACTCTATGCTATTGTTTGGTCGGTCAGACACTTTAGACACTACCTGAGTTGTAATCCTTTTACCATTATTACTGACCACCGCCCTCTGCTCAATTTAAGAAAGATGGACATCACGCACGACCCTACTGGACGCCGGGGTCGGTGGGCATTGGAGTTGGATCCCTACCTTTGGACAATCACTCACAAGGATGGAAAGAAGCACACGAATGCAGATGCAATGTAACGTATACCATCGGTGATTCCTGATAAAATGGAGGTGATTGTGTCTCCCTCTGCTGACATTCACGGAGCGGGGTCGCCAAACAGGAGGCGCATGCCAATCCTATTGTTACAGTACATATTTTTGTGGTAGGGGAACGGAGTACCGGAGGAACACTACGGCGACTAAGGGGTGAACATGCAATCTCCACCTCGAACGGCCCTGGGTCCGGCCGGGCTTCCCGAACCCAGGCCTTCTTGCTGAGAGGCGAGAGTGCTATCACCTCCGCACCGTGCGCCGGGGGGGGAGAGTACAGAATAACGTTCTAAAATCCTTTCCTTAACATATAAAGCCATAAAATGGCTTTTGCTCCCTACCTATCTCCAAGACTAGTTAGTGTCATTCTGGTGTCAACCCAGTCGAGCGTTGCGCTAAAAACGCCAGACGTCTGGTGGTTCCTATGGTCTCCAAAAATCACTGTTGGCGCAGAGCGTTTAGCTACCAAGCTCCTTTACTGTGGAATCAGCTTCCTTATGTTAGGAAGCGATGACCGGTCTCCACATTCAGAGGCAGGCTAAAGCATTCCATTCCCATCCATCCTTTTTTACTTCAACCATTCTGGGTCAGGGGTGGTGGCCAATCAGAGATGCACCCCAGTCTCATAGCATGTCTTAAAGCTAGCTAGTAGCAACTCTACCTTTAATTATGCATATAATTCGGTAATGTATAATATATGGTGATATATAATATATTATATATATATGCTGTATTATGTTGTGTATTGTGTTAATGTGTTATATGATGTTTATATTTATGGTTTTATGTTGATGGTATGTATTATATCCTAATAATCCTATAATATGTATGGTACATTGTGATCTATATTGCTATCTAATTAGGTTTGTTGATCGGTTTGCACACCTGTTGTGCAATCCATGAATCTTGGTGCTGTTAACCTAGGCTAGCCTGCCGTGGCTGCTGCAGCTGTCTACCTCCTTTAGATACGCTATCTTTTTTCCCAGGCCTAATTTCGCTCTTTGTTTAGCATATGGCTTGGATGGTAGGACTCCAGAGAAGGCTAAACACTATCAGACTGTCAGTCAAGCTGCATAGGGAGGAACATGTTTGCGGGAGACGTTGGTAACTTGCGCCTACCTCTCCTCCTTCCAACATTTACCTGTTTTAGGCATTATTAGATTTGGACAGTAGTTTGTCATTGATATTCACGTAGTCCCATGTTGATCATGTACGATGACGGGAGCTCTGAGCCTGGCTCCTCCATCTACATCTGTGGATGCTGCCGACCCGCTGGGAGTGCTTCGTCCTGAACCGGACATGTCACGTTCAGCGGCATGGTCCAGTACTGTAGCTTAGGGTCTAGATTCATTCGCCTGTCCGTCGGAGGAGCGGATCCCTTTCTCAAATGTGTCTCCCTACCTGTGGGTTTCTAGTTTCCCAAGGTTCCGCATTTTTCCACTGGGTTTTTTAAGGTTTTCCTGTCGATGCAGGAGGGTTTGTTGGGACAGTTAGAGTCCTACACAGCAAGATTGGTGATGATCACGGACACTTTAGCATTCCTAAACATGTATGGACCTTTCTCTGCCTCCTGGGTCTGTTTATGGCAGGCCTCATCTGTGCCACAACTAAAATCACATTAGCACACAAACCAATGGGGAGGCAGATGGGCACCGGCACTACAACAGCCTCTGCGTAGAAACGTCTGCGTGTAGCTAAGCATCAGTCCCATCATAAACACAAACACGCACTGGGTATTTTTTGTGTCTGAAAATGTAAGAATATTTTATGGGTGTTATGACGTTTGTACATAGATTGTGCAGTGGGTAGAGTTGTCAGTAGAGACGCAGTGAATATTGTACATATAGGTAAGGTTAGGACATGTAATGTGAAGCAGACACATAGATATAGATAGAGGATTACTAAAACCAATAACAGAATTAATTTATTAAAAAATATAAAAAATGTAGGAAAGCGTTATGGCTGGTTGCAGTATAGATAGTGTCTTGGATTCAGGAGCTCATGTTGCAAATCTTTGGTGCCGAAGGGTTAAAACTAGTATTTATACTATAGAGGAAGTGTATAATAAACAATACGAAATGTGACATTTCCTGAGCAGTTTCAGATGGATTTTTATTAGAACTATGGTTAAACTCTGTGGTACCATTTAAGAAAAAACTAAAATATACTTTACTTATAAGTGAAATCTTTCATTGTCAAAAAAAAACAACATTTCACTAATATCACATGTTTGGGGTCTGCCCTATTTATGGGACCCAGAATCAGGCCCTGATTACATCATTACATAAAACTTTTATTATTAGTTTGAAAAAAATAATATTTTCTTATGTATTTTTGCTTTTTTGACTGGAATGCTCCTCAGTTTGTCATTCAGTTTTTTCCATCTACTTCGAAGACAAGACAGTGACTTCATTAGGCCAAGTTACAAGTCATATCTCTGGGGAGGGGAGCAGCCCCATGGCACAAATTCAGGGGTTTGAGCAATAAAAACAGATTCAATATTGTGAGGTTAAAGGTATATATGTTGTGACTGTGATTTAAAAAATAAAAGGTATTTTGTGGATATGATGTGATACCTGAAAGTCCTCAAAGAGCCGCTGTTGCTCCATATCGGGCTGTTCTTGTCTGACCTCGTCCTGTGAACACAAACATACAAAGTGTCATAGGCAGCCAAACAAACATGGCTGCTCTGTCTTTATTCTACTATAATATCATCCATTG